GTGCCGCCTTGCTGCCGCCTGCGGTACTCGCCCCGCCGCCCGGGCCCCCTCGGCCTCGCCCGCTGAGCGGAGGGAACGACTCCGCGCCTGAATGCGTTCACCGCGCGCTGCTCAGCAGCAAGGCGGGAAAAACCCCTCGCCGCTGCACGTTTAGGGGTGTTAGGCTGCTAGTTTTGTCTCGTGATGGCAGCCCGCCCTTTGCTATCGCCTACGCCCCTATTGCAGGAGAAGATAAGGTGTATGCATCTTTGGACTGCGCCCTTACGTGTCACGATGACTGCTGCTCTCGTGCAATTGTCAAGTCGGAGTGTAACGCGTAAAAGGGTTCAGTAAATAAGGTTGTAGGGAATGGAGCTTTTCTTGTAATACTGCATCACTTCTATAAACTTAATTTTTCTTTGCTGGAACAGACAGGAAAGTTCGTTCTGCTGTTCTCTATGTAGTACTCACTTTGTTTCTGGTATTCTTCAAGAAGGCTAATCATTTTGTGTCTTCTACCCCTGGTTTGCTACCAAGGAGTTTGCTCGTTTACAACTTCGGAAGATTTTTCGTGATCTGCTTTAAGGGATCGTAAAAAGATGCCACTATTTTATCTTAAATGCCTCCATCTCCATTGATCCACCTGTGATTCAGCACTTCCTTCAGCTTGTTCTTTCTGCTGCCACCGAAGTCATCTTTCAACTAGTCTTTGTTTTACACCAGCTGAATTCACCTAGGAGCCCTTCAAACCTTTTCGTGTCATCCTATCTTTATCATTGCGAAGTGGGTTGTGGTCTTAACGTACCTGAAACTGTCTTACTGTTTTGTGGGAGGAAACACACCCTCCTTCTTCATTAACTTCCTTTGCTAGTAATTTATCTTGTCATTGTGTTCTCTTTGACCTTCCGCTCCTTGCTACCCTGCTCCCTCCTCAGTAAGCGTCTAAATACCCTTTCTTCCTGTCTGGCTCTCTGGCAACTGAGGTGGTCCAACTGTTTGCTTCTGCCAAAGGGGGAAGGTTCTGTTCCCTCTTCACTTCCACTTTCCTACACGGTTATACTCTCTTATTTGTGCTCTCTCCAGTGTTTGGTTTAAATAAGTTTAACTGGATCACAGAGGGGTCCGATAAGCTTCCGAGCTGGTGTGAAATTTTTGTTCTGTAATGAGGAGGGATGAGCTGAGGAAAGAGGACCTTTCCCCTCTCAACAGCAGTTGGTTATCTTATATAGACTTCCATGCGCAACTCTCTAGATTTCCTGACAGTTTTCAGGACAGCTTTTGGCCGTTAGAGGTACAACGTCCCCCCTGCTTGATAATGCTTTGATTTTTGCTCCTATCATTTGCTTTGGATTCCAAGATCTAACTTACATAATTGCTTTTCTTTCATTTGTGATGGCAGCTTTTCATCTTCCCATCATCTTCAAAAGTATCAAGTTAAATATTTAAATTGCTGCGTGTAATTGTCAAATGCTCAAGAATTTCTGACAACGTGTCACATTCATCTGCAGTGTTTCAGAGTGTCGACTCTTAAGATAATGTCTTTCTATGCTTTTGTACAGTCCCTAACACAAGGGAAATCTAATCTTCGTGTATAACTTCCTCTGTTATTATTGTACTTGATTATCTCCTCATCTCTTTCTTTTACTTTATTTACTTGTCTCTACCTTTTTCCTCCTTTATACTGTTAAATGTGGAATTACTTTATGTAAATATCACTTGCTTATCATACTTCTTTGACCTATGACCTGTAGATAAGAGGCTTGTGGAATATCTTACCTTTTTCATTTTGCTATCAATTACTTTAAAGTCTGAAGTCCTCCTCAAACAAGTTTTGCCAGCTGTTACCAATTACACACTCAGGCGTGTGTTGAAACTTAACTAAATTTTGCAAAGTGCTCTGAGAGCCATTGAAATGCAAAGCATTATTGGCTTGTCCTGCTTCACCTACCTTTTCTATGTGGCTTTCCTGCAGCTCCAGACTGTGGTTTGAGGCATTCAACACTGCCTTTTCCTTACCTTAGAGATGCTTTTAACACCTTTCTCTCACATTGTGTCGGAGCATAAGCAGATTTAGTGTTAAGACCTCTCCAGAAAAATCAAATGCACTTCTGGTCTTAAAGAAACCGCAGATATTTTTATAAAATTTGCTCATCCCTAGAAGATTTGTATGTTGTGGACATTCGAGTGTTTACTTTGCCTCTGTTAATGTGTGTTCGGTGAAAACTATAATTCTGTAGATTAGAAGAGTGAAACAAGAAACAACTGAGGAATGCTGAGAACTTGGGAATACAGAAATGGGCTGTCTTGACTGGATCTTCCGTAAGGTCGTAGCCTTCAGTATCTGCTACACTTGAATATTTAAAATATTCTTCTCTCCATGGTACTGTGGCAAGTTTTAATCTTTTGTGGATCTTGGGTACTTTGGCCCAGCTCTTTTCCTTCAGTTTCTTTCACCTACAGTCAGTAGTGACGCAGCTCTGTATTTTGCAAGTTGCTGGATGCAAATGTTAAGTGCTTTATCTCTTCTGCAGGTGCTGTTCTTTGGATTTGGGTGGCTGTTCTTCATGCGTAAGCTCTTCAAGGATTATGAGGTGAGAAGGGGCCTTTCATTACAATTCTACATCTTAAAAATTACTCCCAGTTATAGAAATATTTTAAAAACTGCATCTGGCCTTCTTCCTCTCTTTAAGCCCTCTTGTCTTATTTTTAATTGTCTCTACAGTTACTTTCTTTTTCGTTTCCTCTTGTGCTTCCGTTTGAAAGACTCCTAGGTATCTGAGGAAATGGGTTCTCCTGGGGCCAGTGAAAGTTTCCATATTGGCTACTGTTAAATAAATGAAAAAAAAGTGGAGGAGGTACAGGGATAAGGAGACTACTTTGCCTTTTGCTTGAGTAAGCCTGCCTTATGTAATTGTAAAATATTTGAGACAAAATCAAATTCAGTGGTTAACTTTATTAGGTGAGGTGAGGTGTGTTCATTGTGGCTGAATTGTTTGTGAGGATTGGATGGGATAAAACTGTCACATTCTCTTATCCCTAGAGGGGTATGAGAGAATATAGCCTAGGTCAGAGATGGCTTAAGTGCCAGCCAAATTCAGACCCAAAAAGTTTTTCTGATATGGCTCTTATTTTTAAATCTAAAGTTAAGACCAAAAAGCTCTGTTAGCAAGGGTCTATCATTAGTCAAGTTGACATAGGGCATTGCATGCTTGACACCCCTTCTGTGTAGGCATCTCTGTTAAAAGTGCCGATAGCTGCAATCAGTGTAATCCTGAGCAACTTACGAGTTTGCCCTCTGTTCCTAACAGGCTGTTGGTTTCTTCCTGTTGTGGTAAAGGGCAAGGTGCCTTGAAGCAAGAGACCCAGTGGTATGCCACTGTACCTTGTGATTTGTTTTTTTGTTACCTGAGGGATATCAGGATGACATTCTGGGAATGGAAATGCCTGATGTCTCTGGCTTGTTTTCTCCATTGCAGGTGCGACAGTATGTGGTCCAGGTGATCTTCTCTGTGACTTTTGCCTTCTCTTGTACCATGTTTGAACTCATCATCTTTGAGATTTTGGGGGTGCTGAACAGCAGGTGAGTCTGGGAGCTCACTCAAGGACTAGCCTGCCTTGTGTTCAGCAGCTTCAGTCCAACTTCTAAATGAATGAATTAGTCTTGGGTTGGGGAAATTGTGTGAGAAAACTGTCAACAGCTCAACAAAGATGTTTGAGCAGCAGGATTTGTTTATTTGACAGAACATGAGACTAGAAGCCATAAGCTCCTGGTTTTCCATGCAGTTGCTATTAGTGTCGTCTAGGTCCTTAGGGCAAGGCTTTAGTCTTTGACTTTCTCTGTTTGTGAAGTTAAAAGAAACAGTTTCTTTTATGGGAGTGTTGTGAAGCTTCAGATCATGCTGAAGAGCAGTTTTCAGATGTTAAGGACTATAGAAACTGTAAGCACTAGTTTTTCTGTGGTGGTCGGAGCAGTGAATAAGATGTGAAGCTAATTATGGGGTGAAACTACTTCTGTAATAATATGGTATTTGTGAATCAAAGGCGCATCCTCCCTTGACATAGGGTGAGGACTTCTACATTAAGGGGATGTTAAAAACTGTCTACTTCAGAAGTCGGTAGGAAAGAGAAGATAGAACAGTAACACATAGAGGCTAGCTGGGTTTCCTGTTTATTCTCTCTCATCATACTAGTATAAGAGAGCAGTCAAAGGAGTTGAAAGGCAAGAAGTTAAAAACTGATAAAAGGTAATGTTAGTTCTGACTGTCTGCTATTAATCTGTAGAGCTTGCAGCCGGAGAGATCACTGAGGAGAATGCTTTTATAAGCTTCAGTAAAGGGCTGGACATCAATATAGATGAAAATGTTTGTCTCTGAATTAGCTAGGAAAAAGTGGCAAGGATCCTCATAACTTCTCCTTCCCCGAGGCTTAAAGAGGATATGAGTTAATATTGGGAACAAGACAGGTATTGTTCGCTTTAAGTGAAAAGTCAGTTCAGCCAAAATGAATCTTAGCTGCATTTGACTAATCTCCTTTGGTCAGAGGAGTATTGATCATTTTGATATATATGTGTATTTTTAAATTCTTGCTTTGCAGTGTCTTGCACATGAGACAACTCACTTTGAAGTGAAACATGTTGAATTATGAACATTAAATACTTTTAATCTTTTCAATTTGAATTAGGCCTTTTTTGACTCAGCCACTCATTACAAAATTAATTACTGCTTGTACTTAGTTTTGATTTACTGTTCAACTACATGAGCAGTAAATCAAATGAATCATGCTGAAACCAGCATTAATCACTGTAGAAAATACAGTATTTGATAAAATAGCTCAATGTGTTTTTCTGGATAGTTGTTAATTTTGAAATACACATTCTTGAGCTCTGTATTAAAAACCAAAACAAAACCCCAAACCAGACACCCCCTCTCCCCAACCCAAACAACAAACAAAATCCAGAATATTCTATATGCTAGGCCAATATTATCCAATGTTTGATGTAGTTGAAAGGATTGCATTGACATGCGATTGTCTTTGAGAAATTTGTTGTATTATGATAGCGTGCTAATCAGTATTTTGGCTTTATTTTAGCTCTCGATATTTTCACTGGAAGCTGAACCTGTGCGTCATTTTGCTCATCCTAGTCTTCATGGTACCCTTCTACATTGGTTACTTTGTTGTGAGCAATATCAGATTATGTGAGTACTTGGTTTATGGCAGTGGGGCTGCTAACTTGAGACTACGCATACAAATGAGAAATAACTTTTCTGTGAGAGAGAGAGAGATGTGTTGGTCACTATCCCCGTAGCTCCCTCCTTCCTCTGGCTTTCTTCTGGCTAGGTAACTTCTCTTTGGAACTTAATGCTGTAGCATGAACTGTTTATTGAGCAGTTAGGAGATACTTTACGTGACCCCAACAAATGTAGCTTTTCTTTACGGATTTCGACAAAGTTGAGCACCTTAGAGTAATGTTACTGGAATTTGTTCCTTTACAATTTTAAGCTTGCAGCCAAACCCTGGAACCCTTGGCAAGGCTGTGTTGTTCTGCTAGGGGTAGAAGAAGTGAGGCAGAGAAGCTCAATGAATTACTCTTGAGGCAGAAAAGCTCAATAAATTACTTTTGCTTTTTTTGCTTACTATTGTCTGGATGAGGCCTCCTCCATGCGCTAATGGACATTTGCCCTTGAGCTGTTGATATTCATCGCTCTCTTGTATTAAGCTTAGGCATGTAGGTTGGGAGTATTAAATGTGTAGTGTTGGCATGAAGATGAAGTTTCCAAGTTTCACGTTCAGGGTCACACAAGAAAGATGCAGCTAAGTGATCCCCTGTTCATAGTGCAGCCCTCTTCGTACGTCCGTAGGGAAAAGCCAAAGCGGTGTGTTGCTGCACTAGCTCTTACAAATGGTGGTGTCTCAAATAGCTCGTTCTGTGGGAAGTGAAGGGGTGCATACTGCTAGCTGTAGCTCTGTCAGTTGACACCTGTCTTGGCCACCTGTGCTCAAAGCAGCCTTTGGGCCAATGGAGCAATTTTGCAAGCTAGAAAAACCCCTAAAGGAAGAATGTCTTTAAAATACTGTTCTTTTTCTTCTCTGTTAGTGCACAGACAGAAACTGCTTTTTGCGTGTGTTTTGTGGTTGACATTCATGTATTTCTTCTGGAAGCTGGGGGATCCATTTCCTATCCTCAGCCCAAAACATGGTGAGTTTCATATTCTTGTTCGTTCCTTCCCTCCTGAAAATAGGCTTTGTTATCTCACTTTTATCTTGGAGGAGTTATTATTTTATCTCAGCTCTACAGTTAGGACTGTAGAAAGTAGTTCTTGCAACTGGGGGTCTGCTCTGCTTTGAAATCTGCAATCTGAAGGTTGTCAGACTGACAGAAATGGGTGGATACATCTGAATTATTTGCATTAGTTTTCTTCCAGTACCACAGGAAAACTTCAGGGAAGTGAATGAGTCCTAACTGAACCTAGGGTATGTAAGAACACAGTGTACTTTTTGAGGACACAAAAACTTCGTCTCCACAAAAAGTTGATCACGATTTTTATTCACTTGCTTCTTTTCTTGTGGAGGCTAAAGCTAATTTATTTAAGAGGAGAATCAACAGTCAATCCTTCTTCTGACTTTTTTCAGTCAGATTATTGTTTCTTGTGACTGAAATCAGATCACTTTAGCATAGGTGGCTGTCAAGTTGACAAAACATGGCAGGGTGCCTAAACACCAGAGCTATATAGAATGTAGCCAGCAACACATCTGGCAGTGCGTGCTAGCTTTGGTACAGCTTCGTACACCACCTGAGCCCAGAGACAGTACAGTTGTATGGTACTAGAATGTGAGTTGGTTAAGTCCCGCTGGATGCCAGAGCTAGTTATGTGCAGAATTAGCTTGGGTATCTTTGCGTTGCAGTCATGGAACCGAGAGTATTTATAGTGTGAAGATACTGTGTGCACTTGGGCTAGTTTGGGTCCAACAGAGCTTGTTAGCATGTGCCTAACTGTACTGAATCCTTCAGGCACCTAAGTGTGCTGGAGGATCATAACACTGTAGAACCAGGCTATTTGTCACCTGGGTTTCCTGTGTAACTTAGGTTGCCCTTATCCCTTGCACTGGAAAATTGTTTGTATATTGTTCTCAACAGGTGAAATTCAGTCAGTTTCACTCGAATTGGTGAATATGTCTGTCTGCATAGACAATGGTCAGCTTAATCTTTCTGTTCTTTAGGAGGCTACTTTACTCTGTACTAACCTGTAAGAGAAAAATTGAAGGATACCAACTGCTGTAGGGTCTGTTCACCCTTTCACCTGTGATCCTAGAACTTTCCTAAGAGAAAGGGTGTATCTGTGTTTCGTAATTGTGTCATGTGCCACTGAAATACAACAGCTAGTATATAGTGCAGATCCCTCTGCCCAGTGTTTCATTGCCAAGAAAAACGTGTATCCTTTTTGAGTTGCAGAAAGCACTTGAGTTGGCAGAATATAATAACCCAATGGGAAGTTAGCCATGGGGTTTAGGTAATCCTCTTCAGATCACTGAAAAGGTTCTGTGAAGCCACGTAACAACTGCAGATTTCCAGAACTGGTAGTGGGGTGTTTTTTATTTTTAACTTCTGCTTTACAGGATGATACCTCCACTTAACAGTTGTGCAGTGCCTTATCCTACCAGGTGTAGACATAAGGCTAGAGCAAAGGATTCTAGGCCTTTTTTCCCTGCCGTACGGCTAGGGTGCTGCTGTCCTGCAAGTACTGACAAGGCTGCTGCAGGGCTTTGTTGTGTGGCGGTGGCCCAATTCAGACAGGTAGGATCCTGTTGTGGCGGGATGCCTGACAGGAGGCCATGCTTAATGAGCCCCTCACACTGCCGTACGTTACCTGTAGTGTCTTTCTCAGTGTGCCCCACCCTGCTCACCTGCATGTATGGTGGTGTGCCGCAGCTGGGGAATTGTGCTGACTAGTGGGGCCCTTTCAAGTACCTGCACTGGCATCCTGTGTCAGGGGGTGCCTTGCCTGGGCATGGTGATGGCAGTGTGCTGCAGCTGGGAAATGCACCATCAAGCAGGGCTCTGAGTCAGGAGCCCCAGTTGGTCTGCAGTTTGTTTGATAGACCTGAGTTTGGGAGCTCGTAGTAGAAGGAAGGTTATGCTTTACTCAGTTACATACTAGTATTGTAATAAAACTCTTATCTTTATCTGAGTTGATAAAACGTTCATTTTATCTGACCTGATCACAAGAGCAGAGTTGCTATGAGTGTTATGGGGGAGCATTGCTTTAACCAGTGGAATGTCATGTCGTTTTGAAGGCACCTCTGTTTTAACTGCTGCTGTCTGACAGTGTGTGGGGCAAAAGGCCAGTGTATTGTAGCACATTCTGTAGCTGGTGTAAATCTCTATGCAGCTGCACATGACTGGGTGTCTCAGTCTCCCTTTGTGAAGTCTTTTTGCCTTGTTTTCATCATTTATTCCCCTTCTCTGAAGCATGAAATGTGGCTTGGCGCTTGGCCATCTCAGCTTTGCAATCATGTAAGCTCCAAATGTGCTGTGTGTGGCAGCTGCTCTATAACTAGCTCCCTAAAAAGTGAGTGATGTTTAGTAGCACATGGCACTGTATCCTGAGAAGATGGGTTGAGGTCTGTGTTTAATGGCTGAGAAGAATAAATGGAACTTCAGTGCTTGGTGTTGGTTGCAGCACAGGCTTGATGTTCATGCTGTATTACGTGAATATATGTTTTAGAGTCCACTTACTGCTCAGGTGGAATGCCTTTTTGGGGGTCACCTCAACAACGTGTGTGTGTCCACAAGGTGAATACTGAACAGCCAGGAGCAGCATAAGCTTCCCATGCTGTCATAACTCCACTGTCCCACAAGCGCAAATTGTGTCTGATCTGGAGGGGTCACTTCTAATGACAGTTGAGAGGATAGGGTTTCCTCTCTATGGTCCAGACATTTTTGGGCCAGTCTGCCAGGACTAGCTGGTTCAGTAACTTTAATCCTAGTTGCTGCAGAAGTGGCTTTGTAGAAGATGCCTCCTTTATAGTGTCTGGTGGATGATCTGTGTTCCCACCTCAGTAAAGTGCAATCACTAATGTTTTGTTAATTTAGAAACAAAATGTTGACTGTTAGTCCCCTCCAGATCTGTCTTAAGCTTCTTCATAGCTAGAGTTTCCCATCCCTGTTTTTAAGCATGGTAACGTGCTTTCTGAGGGAGACTTTCTACCTCTTTCCTTTCGTAGTCCCTGTTTGTACTTCATATTACCTCTGGTCACTGCAGTGGAAAGGCAGTTGGATTCATTAGGCAGCTCTGTATGTGTGTTATGTTGTGAAGGCACCAAGTGTGGACCAGAGTGAAGAGAGCAACGTTACTAATGCCATGTTTTTCCCCTCTCAGGAATCCTCTCTATAGAACAGCTCATCAGCCGTGTGGGTGTGATTGGGGTGACGCTCATGGCTTTGCTATCAGGATTTGGGGCTGTCAACTGTCCATACACTTACATGTCCTACTTTCTCAGGTAACTACAGCCTTGTGAAATATTTTGTCCACCTTTTTGAGATTATTCTTCTGCTTTTCCTGTGGCATTGATTCAAGTTTTTTCGTAACTTTTTTTCTGAATCTAGCTATTGCCATGTCTAAATGCTAGAACCATTTCCATTGCTGAAGCATATTCTACTTGTACAGGCTTCTCTCTTCTTTGTTTCATGGGCATGTGCATATTTCCTCTGAAATGGGATAGCAAGTCTAATTGGGTGTCTTCATTTTGCAGGAATGTGACAGATGCAGATATTCTGGCTTTGGAGCGACGACTCCTTCAGACTATGGACATGATTGTTAGCAAGAAAAAAAGGTGAGAAGGCAGCAGTAGCATGAAATTATTTGTTTCAAGGCTTTTCAGTCAGTATGGTATACAATGGTTCTTGAAATTACCAAAATTATTAGTCCTGTCAGGGCTACGTGTTCCGGTGAAACAGGTGGCTGAATTGGGTTGAGCTATGTGGTGTTTCATTCTGGCCTGATACACAACTTTGGTTTTTTTCCCAGACGTGTGCACTAAATTGCACCCTTTCTTACTGCAGTGGCACAGATTAGGCTTCCAAGACAAATTGTAACTCTCTGATGGCAGCTTGACTAGTCTGTAAGATGGGTACCTTTCTCTCCTGATGAGTAAGTGACCCTTAAGCCACCGCAGCTGGCTCTCTTACTGGTGGTTTCGGTACAGCAATTGGTTCATACATATTGAGCACTCTTCTGCTCTGTGGATCTGGTGTTTCCTGGTCAAAGCTGAAGCAGGCTAGCGAGCTGGTGTGGACACAGCTATATTCTTGCAAATGGCAAGGTTTACGTTAGTTAAAGTTTTCTTTCTTAAAGTTAGTTAAGTTTTGCAGAATTGCAAAACATTGGTAATGTGAATGTAGTATAGTGCACAAGCGTGCCATCAGAATTCTGCTTTTGTTGGTTTAGCTTATTCCATGGAAACATTCAAGGTCAGGCTGGACGGGGCTCTGAGCAACCTGATCTAGTTGAAGATGTCCCTGCCCACGGCAGGGGGGTTGCACTAGATGACCTTTAAAGGTCCCTTCTAACCCAAACTATTCTATAACTCTATGTACCCCAAGCGAAAAAGCTACTTTTGGAAACAATGTAATTTCATTTACACTGAAAAGATTTTTGTGTGCTGTTACAAATTATATATTACATGCCTTACTAGTTGTGCGGAATAAATATACCACAGTCACTTCAAAGACTGTCTTGACACTGAATTCTCACAGCAGTGGAATAAATATACCACAGTCACTTCAAAGGTTTGACTGTCTTGACACTGAATTCTCACAGCAGTCCCCCAAACTTTACTTTTGGCGCACTAATGTTTTAATGGATGACAAGGGATCTTTTAGGTAGTCTAACCTTGCTGAATTAGTCACTAGCATGCGTATCTGCCGATCAGTATTAGCATATGAAAGTGTAGTTAAAGCATAACTTTTTTCTTCCCCTTTGAAAATGTTAAGTGTTAAACAAATGTTAACTCAATATTTGTGGTCATGTGTGAGACAGTAAGTAGTGAGAAAATTTAATTACTCGGCTTTAATTGATTTAATCGACTAGGACCATACTAAAATACTGGCTTTGGAGTTAAAATATATTGTGCAGTGCTGCTTCTGACTCTGTTTTCTTTTGTTTTGTACGGTGTTTTTGGACCTCTGGTCCAGGGAGGATGATGTTGGGGTAAAAGTAAGGATGTCTGGGACTTGTAAATGATTAGCGCTTTCCTGCCTTCCTATGGCCAGGAAATCTTCTGAATATAGCAACTTTCTAACCATTATGAAGAGCCACATAAAGGGTGTTAATCGCTTGGGAATTATGCTGCAAGTTCATGTGTTTGTGTTTAAAAAACAAAACAAAACCAAAAAAACCCCAAAACTGTTTAGTCTCAGAAATGTGCAAGAAATAGCAGAAGCTCGAGTTCTGTAGATTTTGTTCTCTTTTTGCTTTGACAGGGAGCAGTGGCTTGCATAATTGGACTATTTGCTCATATAAAGCAGAGCTTAAAAAGTTAGATTTGTATCAGTTCAAATGTAATCCAAATAATTTGGCAGAACAAGCAGGAATAGTGGTATTTTACAGCGTAGGGTAAATGCTATAGTTCCATAAACTGTCAGTTTCTTGCTGGCCACCTTTTCAGTACTACTCATAACTCAGAACTTCTCAATGCACACAAGGGTTATAAGGCAATAGAACATAAAGCTTTTTTGTTTTCTTTGCTGATCTTGACATTTCTTCTCATACCAACCCTTATTCATACTGGCTTCCTTGTCAGTAGGAGATAGTTGTTGAAAGCTGTTTTCCCTGATGCTTTTTGCACAGGAATTACCGTTCTTTCCTTACTGAGTGTAATCAAATAAAGCCTTCTGGAAACTTGCCTGTAAGGTTGGCAGGTTTTTATACTCATCCTTGCAGGTATGACATAACTAAGCCTCAGGTTTGAAATGCCTAGATTCTGTGACACCATTGCTTCATTTTGCTTCATGTTAGAGTCAAATCAGCCTATCTGATGTAGATAAATCACATATCTACACTGGCAAAGTGTGTGGTTTTTGCCTGTGGATCCTTTCTATGAGGTCTTCAGAACTCCGAACCACTGTGTGGGCACAGAGATCCCTGTCACCTCTCAAAAGAAAAGATTTGCCTTTGTATACTTACAGCCTTGCGCTTCACCTTGACATAGCTGCATTTTTGCTGCAATGCTGTGGATCGTTTCGGATGGAACGTGCGAATCGGGTACTGGGAAGAAAGCAAGGGTTAAAAATGCAATTCTTACATTTGGCAGCTATCAGGATGAATTGAATCGTTCTAAGATCTCTGTTATTTGTAGTCTGGGGCCATATGTGCTTTTATGTGTGTTATGTGGGGTGCCCCAAGGGTGTTTCTTTTGCTGGATGTGAAGAAGGAGTGATTTTTTTTTTTTTTTTTTATTACACTGCTTAACAACAACCTTGAAGAGGGCTCAGTGCCAAATGTAGCAATACTGGCTGCAGCTACAAGAAAGGGCCTAAACACTGTCGAATCATGGATTGCCTTGACAATCCTATGAATAGTTTTCAGCTTAGGAGTGGATAACTGGCTTGCAAATTTCAATGGGGAGAAATGTGAGGGAATGAGGCCAGAAGCCAGTGCTGCTCGTGGGGATTATGCTGCAGTGCACATGGGAGTGTGAGGGACAATATGCAGCTGCTGCTGTAGTGTTGGAATTAGCTTTAGGAGTCATGTTCAGATCGCCTGAAGCGTCCAGTGGTTCGGTCCAATAATGGATTTATGTGTTTCTGCTTCATAACAGCTTGTCATGCAGCCCAGTAGTGAGTGACAACTTATCAGAGAGTGCTGCTGCATACCGTCCAGTGCTCAAAGTTCTGTGGAGGAGGCGGATGTGCAGTGATAAAGAGGTGTTCAAGGGGAGAGAGGAGCATGAGAAGTTTTCCGATTTCTGAACTTGAGATAGCACAGTCATATGTTTGAGGAAAGGAAAGCGACTAATCATATGACTGAGAAATCCGTTTGAATTTTTATTTTTAATCGGGTTTAAATCCCTTTAAGGATTGAAGCAGGATCCTGAATGGAAGTCTTGGGAAGTGTCTCACTGAATCTCGCTTGATTAGGTCTGGGCTCTACTCCAGAGCTAATCAAGATAATGTTATGAAGCAAGATCGGTGCTTAGGGGGGGAAAAAAGGGGGGCATCTGTTTGCACTGAATCTAGTTTAACAGTGTCTTTTAAGAAACTGCTTTTTGGTGGTTTTTTTTTGTTTTGATTTTTTTATAAAAATACTTTATTCCTAAGGACTTGTGTTTTCTGTTCTTTCAGGATAGCAGTGGCTCATAGGACAATGTTCCAGAGAGGAGAAGTGCATAACAAACCCACTGGCTTCTGGGGAATGATAAAAAGTGTTACAACATCTGTTGCAGGCAGTGAAAGTATCCTTCATCTGCATGCTGGCACCTGCCTTGGGAGGTGGCTCCAGCTTTCTTCTGTTTTGAAAGGAAGAGTGTTAGCTGGGCCAGTTACAAAGCATTTGTTTCAACACGTTTCAGCAGTCTGAGCAAAAGGCTTAATGTCTCCTGGGAAGTTTGCTCTCTAGCACTTGTACTGTCTGACCTTTGGCCCAGGACTTGGACCCATAGCTTTACTGTGACACAGTCGGGAGTAGTATGCTGCTGCCCTGCCCTATAAATGTGTTGTTACATCACCGTGGTTGAGGTGTACAGCAGGTCGCAGGACAGATGTGCACACTTATGGTGTCACGTTGCAGATGTCTACCCCATCACATCGCTGACGTGGGAGACAACTTTCTATTCTGATGTATCCTCTCTTCCTATGACTGACCTGCACGCGTATTTTTCTTGTAACTTGAAATATGCTCTTCCAGGATGGAGAACCTGGGATGTACTTGAGCAAAGCAACGGGGTTGGCTGAGGTGCTGGAACAATTTACCTAGCCTATAGTTGGCTTTCTGGCCATGTTGGAGAGCAGTGAGAAAAAGAAGGGCGGGAAGCAACTTGTTGACTAAATAAATTGTTCTCATGCTATAGGCTGGCCACTGGTACTATACCAGTGTGACAAAAAGGTGGATAGGAACAGGTGAACAGAAGTTGCTCTGCCCATGTGAAAGGGGTAGAAGGAACCTGTTGGGAATTACAAGGGTCTGTATTTCTCTAACTTAACAGTTGCCTGCCAACAGTTTCTGCCAGACCACCTGAAGTGTGCAGTTTGCATACTTAAGGCTGAGGAATCTTCTTCTTCCTCTCCTTTCCCACTAGCTGTTAAAATCAGAATTCGGATATTTGACTAGACTTTTCACAATAATCACTAATGTGTTGGAGCAGTTACTCAGCAGTTTTGTTTATGAAGATGATGCGAGAGTGACATATGATGATGCACTTCAGTGACAAGGGACGCTGATCAAAGTGGAGCAGCAGTCTTTGAGAGCTCTGGTTCTATTCTGCGATGTGTTCCCCAGGCAGAGGAATAAAGAGCTTGTGGCATGACTGCCTGAATACTGTGTACTGCCTACCTTCTTAAAATGGAGTAGTGTGCAATATATGTGTCCTTGAGATTTCTTTGGGTGCAGTTTTAACATGGAGCATTAAGACTGAATCAAAAAACTGATCTGCATCAAAAAAGTGGTCAAACCATTAGATGTGGCCCTTGGGCTGAAGGTGGGGAATGTTTTGATTTTAATTAAGAATTTGTGACGTATTCTAGCCTTGACTATGCTGGTTTGCCAGATCTGTCCCTTATCCAGCAAGAAGTGGATGCTCTAGAAGAGCTGAGTCGGCAGCTTTTTCTGGAAACTGCTGACTTGCATGCAACAAAGGTACATAGCAAAGTAACTGCCCAGATGGGTGTTAGGAGGCCAGAGTAGTTTGAAAGAGAATGTATGTTACAAGAAATTGAAAGCTGTTTAGCAGGTAAATGTTGAAATGTTGTGACGCGGTGGAGTGAGGATCCATTTCTTTAATTTGGGGTCTAGATGGCAATTTCCTTCTAGTTCAGATACATACTTGAGTATGCCCCATGTCCCTATAGCCATTCAGAAACTTTTGAATTAAAACTTTTGAGTTCAGAAACATTTGAATTAAGAGGTGTAGAAGGATAAAGCTGTGTTTGCTACTATTGGTGCTCCATTAAAATTGTGTTGTGGGTGACTGTGTGGAAGTGATATTTTTTTTTTGTGTTCTGTTCCCCCTCCCTCCTTTTGTATTTCCAGGAGAGAATAGAGTACTCCAAAACTTTCCAGGGAAAATACTTCAATTTTTTGGGTTATTTTTTCTCCATCTATTGTGTCTGGAAAATCTTCATGGTATGTAAATGTTTTAATGCGTTTTATGTGGACATATGCAAATGTCACACCCTGCATAGATTATGCTATACATGCAGTTCATCAAGTAATGCTCCAGTTTCCTTAAAATCCTGCTTCTGGAAATTCTGAAAGAAACTGGCCCTTGTTTGAAATAAAGCTCTGGATCTGTCTTTTTTGTATAGAGCATTAGACAAGCAATGCTTACATGTGTCTATTTTGTACCTTCTTAGACAATCCGACTGCCCCTTTCCTTGGTGATACAAAGTAAAGGCCATGCATGTGTTTCATGTGTAACAGTGAGGTATGCTTTTATTTTCTTGTTTGAATGTAAATCCATCTCTCTTGCAGGCAACCATAAATATTGTGTTTGACCGTGTGGGGAAGACTGATCCAGTCACACGAGGAATTGAGATCACTGTAAATTATCTGGGCATCCAGTTTGATGTGAGACTTTATTAATTCTTACAGCCTTTTCAGCAATTCCTATCTTATCTAAATAAAATCATACTGCTGATAGGGAGAGAGTGATAGAGCCCTGAGAATGTGCCTTTGACTTCTGACTTACTGAGGAGGAAGAGAAAATGCACCATGAACTTGGCTTTCACGCTGATTTTATGCTGGGATGGTAATGTGGTCTTGCCAGAGAGGTAGTGATTTGCTTGTTTGTTTTGGGCAAATGGAAGCATGTTAGTCAACTTGCTTAGATTAATTCATTTAACTACAGAGTAATTATGTTTGCTCGTGCACACAGGTGTTCTGTCGTATACACTTTTTAAATATATCCCTGTGAATATGGGGTTCTTTGATTGGTGTAAGCTCAATCTGTTTTTCTCGTGTGTTTGGAGTAAACAATTGCTAATATATTTATTAAAATGTCTGTTATATAAACCTGTCTACAATGGATATCTGTACAATTAGGAAATACAAAGACCCTGAAGAATTGGCAGCTATACAGTGTGGTGTAAATGGGGTTAGCATTAGAGATTTAACTGTATTCTTCCTGTTGATACAGGTGAAATTCTGGTCTCAGCACATTTCCTTTATTCTTGTTGGAATAATCATTGTTACCTCTATCAGAGGATTGTTAATCACACTTACAAAGGTAAGAGCCAGGACGGTTACGTGGTTTTGGACCAGGAAAGCTGTTATCAGATCCTTAACTTTAGATAGGATAAATACTGTATAAACTGTCAATGCACATTTTTGTTTTAAATATCTGAATATAAATACTTGCAGAGGGAGGAAGGGAGGAAAAATACCTTCTGCAGTATATTTCCCCACTCAGTCTCTATTGTTATTACTGTCGGGAAGAGATGTAGATGTTAAATGAGATGTTAAATGTAAGCAAGGGTTCAAAATGATGCTGTAGCCAGGGCCTATTAGTAAGGTTGACGAGATGGTGATCAAAAGAATTTAGATTGCTTAATTTGAGCTGCCAGTAGGACTGGAAAGGCATTAACTCAGGAGACGTGACTAATTGTCTTGACCTGGCTTTTGGTACCTAAGCTTAAACTTCAATATATATTGTTATATGACTTTTACCACATGGCATCACTGGCTTAGGGAGATTCATGTTTAAGACTAAGACTGCAGGTTTCTGAAAGTAGGGTACAGACACCCCTCCAGAAAGTATGCTTTTTCTTGGTTTTTTTAAATGAAAAAATATTGAATGGTATGTACCTTTCATGCTGTCCTAAGGCACATCAGACTTATTTGACTGCTTATTTCCAGTGCTTTTTAAATTTTTTTTCCTAGTTCTTCTATGCCATTTCCAGCAGCAAGTCCTCCAATGTCATTGTTCTGCTTTTAGCACAGATAATGGTGAGTATATAGAACCATGGGCACGCCTATATACGTTTATGCATGCATACATATTTGTGTGTGTGTACATATACACATAATAAAATCTTTGTATGCTGACCCATGTTAGCCACATAGCCAATTGTGAAACAATAACTACTTCCTCTTTTTTAATTTACAGGGTATGTACTTTGTGTCATCAGTGCTCCTGATCCGGATGAGTATGCCTCTAGAGTATCGCACTATTATTACAGAAGTCCTGGGAGAGCTCCAGTTCAACTTTTATCATCGTTGGTTTGATGTGATATTCCTAGTTAGTGCACTGTCCAGTATCCTCTTTCTCTATTTAGCACACAAACAAGCGCCAGAAAAGCACATGGCCCTCTAAGTAAGGACTGCAGTCACACACTGCTCTCTGTCCTTTCAACTGCACTGCTGCAATTCCTGTGGACTGCAAAACTTGAAGAGAGCCAGGACTATTCTGTGTGTTCAGCAGTGTGTCTGACTCTTTGAACTTCCACACGCGTCATCATCAAGCTCTGTGGCTCATTTTGTTAAGGTGCCACGGCTTGAAGGAAAGGGGTGCACATATTGAATGTGAGATAGTTCATTGCCAAGGAATAAGGCCACTCCTTGGTACACCAATATCTAGGGGCATTGGAACTTGCATAGTAGGCTGTCTGAGGTAAGACCTCTTACTGTTAGAAGAACATCTTCGTAGAAGGCACCAAGGAAATGTGATTTTTCTTTTGAAAATCAACTCATAATTGGGATTCAGAGGACGGCAATTCTGGAGTTGAATGTTTGAGTCTGTGGAATTAAATAAGCTTTTGTAATATCCCATACAAGCATCACAGTTGTCTTTTGTCAGCCCCAAAGACTTGGCTGGAAGTGAGCTAGAAAGTGGCTAGGATTTGCCATCTGGCAGAAGTGAAGTGGAGAGAATTTCACTCCATTTCTGTATGGAGTGTATGCTAGTGTGTATCACTAGTACCTACTGTCCTTAAGAGCTGGAGATTAGCTTTCTGTTGCTGAGTCTCAACTTTGTTTTCTCTCCCTGCATAAATGGAACTGAGGTTTTGGATTCCTCTTTGCTAGAGTTCAGTGTGAAGTCAAAGACCACAGCTATGCCTTGTTTATCTTATATGTTACAAATTTGTTTACCTTACATGCTGTAAATTTGGTGTTCCCCACAACCTGTGTATTCTTCCACAGTAGCCCATTTCCCCTTCTTGATGTAATTCGAGGCATAAAAGTAAATTATATTCATGTGACTTAAACTTGTAGCTTCCCATAGCCACTCTCTTAGGCTTTGTTTGGTTTAAAATTGTTCTGGAACATAAATCATAGGTGCTAAGAGTAAGACCGGGGCGGGGGGAAATAGCCACTCTAACCAATTTATTTCTGTGTTGTCCTCAGTATACAGCAAGGAGGCAAAGTATACAGCAGCGGTATTACAGAGCCATTTATGTCACATTCAAGCAATGTGGTGTTGACTTGGAGTTAGACAAACCTGCCTGTCTGAATTATGTATGCTATTCTAACTACCATGATCCACAACTGTATGCAGAGAGAGAGAGCGCTTAAACATCTTGAGTTATGAATTATGAAGTTAGCTTAATGTTTGAAAGAAATTTCTGCAATGTTTGCAGGAGAAAGGAGCGTAATGCGCAGAGTACATTGGCTTATGCCATTTCACAGCAGTTGTACTGCTGCAAGTATCGCGTAGAAGAGTCACCACAGATTGAGTTGATGGACTTGGATTAGGGGGAGAACTGCCTCTCCTGGGAGACGGGGAGAAATCAGTTGCTCTTTATTAAGAGCTTATCCTTAAAAGACTAAGATGCTTATGAATCTATAAAACGTTTCCACCTTCTGCTGCAGTATGCTCAATTATATACTTCTAGTTATTTAAGCCTTTACAGAAGTGACTAACTGCCCGCTTTACAAGGCAGAAAGCCAATGAAGTGCAATTGCAGTGTGTTAAATGAATGCAAGTTACACTGAAGTGTTTATTTCGGGCAGCTGCATTTCAGCAAGAGGTTGCAGTTCTTTACAGGTTTGGCACTCCTAGGAATAGTCAAGTTCTGGGAGGTGTAGTAGCAAAGAATGATTGAAGAAAGAGGATTTGGAAGGTTTCTTTTTTGTTCTTGGCATAGTTTGTCTCCTCACAACTTTGTGTCATTGTTGTTGTCACTGTCTGCTTTTGTAGAGGCAGCTGATTGTGAAGAGGAGGATGAGCTTGCCTGCAGAGGAGTAACAAATACGTTCTGATTATTTTTAGTTTGTAAACATGCTTGATAGTCTGCAGTGCTATGAAGGACTCCTATTTTCATCTGCACTAATCATGTACTTGTTTGGATGGCAGAATGAGCCAACAAATGTGATTTTTGTTGTTGAAGCGCTTTTTGGTTAAGTACATTTAGAGAGAAATTTGTTCAATAGAGGTTTCTGATTGTTTAATTCCCATACCTTCTGAATTTGCACACAAAAGTGGTGCTAACATCAGATCTGCAAAATGCAGCTTGGTGACTAAGAAACTTCTGAAAAAACTTGCAGCTGGACACTTGCAGACAAGGCTAATGAAAAATGAATAGGAGACAGTATTGGTCTTATTCTTCCTTGTCTGTCTCTTTTGCATGATCAGAAAAGAAGCATTTAAATATTTAAGGCTGACCACACAGAGGGTTCAAAATGACTGTTTCAAGAAGAAATACCTTCCTGCTTTTCTGACTTCTGTCATGCTTCAGATTCTTTCTAATGGCATGAAGTGAGTAAAATAATTTCAAATCAGCATATTTCCTAGGTTATGATGACATTTTCTATCAGTTGCTCTTCCTTCTACAAAATTATCTGTCTTGAAATATTTCACCTGATTTCCCCAAAGGTGGTTTATGCTTTTTGGTGTATTTAAGCACTTTTTTCCCCGTACTTTCAGGATTGTATTGCCTGTTTCCCATCTTCATTAAGGGTGACTGTATTTGGATTATCTTGTTCCATAAAATCTCTTGTATGTGCATCCTTTCTGTGATTTAATCTTGCATTAAAGATACTCGCCTGTATTATGTGTGGGGGAAGGAAGAGTTGTTTATGATAATCAGACCACAGCTTCCCTTTTAATAACATAGACTGACTTGTAAAAAATCCAGGCTCAAGTTAAAAACCCTAGCTCAGGAATACATACTAGCTGAAAAAAGTTGTTTTCCTATTCCCTAGATGATCCCTCAACATTTACTTAATGCAGTATTACTCACCCTTTCCCTTGGTTCAGGTGAGTTTCTCTCTGGCTCTGACGGATGGTTTTCTGTATAAGCAGGAGGCTCAGAAGTGTCATGGACTGGATCTGCCATAGAGGCTGTGACGGGAATGTTCTGGCCCTGGAAGTATTTGTAAGCATCTTTGCTGCACACCAGTAGTGTTAGTCTGTCACCACTATCTTGGATTCTTGCCACCACTTTGTCATAGGATTCATTCATCACATTCACCCCGTTCACTTCCACCAAAAAGTCGTTATTTTCCACACCTGCTGTGTCAGCTGGCCCGTGGTTTTGTACCTGCAAAGGCAAGTTCAAACAGTGATATTAGCATAAAACTTGGAAAGATGCATTAACAACTGATGGTTAGCTAGACTATTGTGTTACTGCTTTCCTTACAAGATGGCAAAATAAGCATGGGGAAGGGGAGATTTGTGGGGCAGAAATGAATTGGGAGAGGCAATAGGCGTAGACATAATAAACATGGAACCCATCCGTTTGAAATTTAAGATGCATCTTGATTTTGATCGACTTTTGTTATAGAAATGTGGCATGGTAGAATCATGAAGACAGGTGGAAAACCAATTTTCTTATTATTTGCAGGTCCCTGTCCAGTAACTTTAAAGTTAACTTTACTACATTTCACAGATTCCTTAGTAATGAGTGGAACCCCTCCTCTCAAGAAAGCTAAAGGCACAGACATAATTTGAGACAGTAGAGGTTTGACTTTTGCCAGCTGTGGAATTCAGAGAAGGGGGGGTAGAGCAGGGCGAAGGTGTCTCTCTTACATTTAGGGTGTTCTACAGTCAAATCTATTTAAAATACTAATTTTAGCATGCCAGTCTCATGGATAAAAGCAAAAATGAAGCAAAAGCTGGATTCCCCTTCCCTCTAGACGTCTGACAGAATGAGGAATGTTTTCTGGTGCTTATTTTTTATCTTGGTCCTACAATGTCAGTCTGACTTTAGCAATTGCAGCTCTTATCTGAGAGCGCTGGAGAAGAGACTTGTCTTTTGTGGCTTTTCTTGAATGTATTTGCAGGACGGAAGGGAGGAAGCTGTCCGACAGACTACTTGAGCTTCTCCTTGTTCTCATTCTACATTAGTACCTCATTGATGAACAGTCCAGGCTTGTTCTTGATCATGTTTAAACTGAAGCCAAATCCACTAGGCCCTTTCACCATCTTGCAGATTCTTGGCTTGTGGTTCACTTTCTGCTCAGCATGCAACTCCACTCTTTCCTCCATTTTAGCTGGAGTTGGATCTTGTGCTTTGTAGTAGTATGAGAAGGGGGAAATTTGAGCCTGAAAAAAGTGACAAATAAAACTTTGTTAACATAAAAACTTCTGTTGTGAAATCTGTATTAGGCTTCCATGCTCAACATGTTTTGTTTGAAACCTTTTTAATGACTCAGACTTGAGCTGCAATGAAGAACTCTTTGCTATTAATTTCTGGCTGAGTGGAAAACTACTATGTTGATCTATGTAAGAAGGCAATTTTGTTACTCGTTTTGTTCATAAACGGTTACGCAGCCGTGTAGCTCTGAATTTGCTGTCTTAAACTTCTAACCTTTCTTGTGGTGTGTTTAAATTTAGAATTGTTCCAATAGTGCCTATAAAAATCTGCAAGAGGCCAAAAATTTGGGTGTTTAGTGACTTGCTGTACAAGTGCAAGGAGAGTTGCTGAAGTATGGGTGTATCTTAGACATTTTCTGCAAGTTGAAGACAGCTCTGGCTGTCAGAGCAGACTGGCTGTTTCATTGCTGCATATGTCTCTTCATAATGATAAATTATCAATTCTTAGCAGTAGCTTGCATTTTCTTACCAGTCTATACATGGCGTCAGTCTCCTTATCCACTACCAACAGTGTGGTTTTTGCCTCAGAGTGCTTAATTTTTCCCACTACGCTTTCATGATCCAGACCATCCACCTGCTCGCCATTGACAGCTACTAAGATATCGTTGTCTTTGAGACCCGCCTTGGCTGCTGGGCTCCCAGAATCAACATCCTTGATTACATGATCTAAGGTCAGAAGGGAAAAAAGATTGATGTGAAGGCGTATGCTTGGTAAGTTTAAAGACATTAAAATGCATGGCAAAGGCTAATTGTCAGAATTGCACTTCAGGTTGAGACCATTTCCTGATGTAGCCCTGTTTGCAACACGTCTATAGAGGACTTCTGTATGCCTAGATGACCTGTAAGAAGCCAAAGAGAATGAGGTCTGCAAACCTTGTACAGGAAGAAACTGTATAGCGAATGTCATGGTCTGTGTGTTAACTTGCTTCTTACCACCAGTATTTTGTTCCATCCGTAGATAAAAGCCATAACCGTTTTTTCCTTTCTGGATCTCAATAAGTCGTGGTTTGAGGGGAAGCAATCTTAGGCTGGCGCTCTCTTTGCTCAGTACCATCTTCTGGCTTGTGTAATAGTGGTCAGTTTCTTCATTTGAAAGTAGAAACATAACATGATTTTCAGACGACTTTACCTGCGACAGTACATGTACAGTCTCAGACGTCACCCCTTCAACAATGTGTGGGAACTGTAGATACTTTGGTGTACTGATACATAGTGGTGTGTCGGTGCTGTTGATGAATGAGCCATAAGGTGTAGGCCATGCTACTATAAGTTTATTCCCCCCCCCCCCCCCCCCCCCCCCAAAATTTTTAGCT